CTTCACGTTGTACGATATCGAGCAGCAGCTAGGTCGAGTGCGATGCAGACGTCCTCAACAGCTTACGTGTATTGCAGCAAAACATTTTTCTGCACATTTTGCAGCTGTGCCTTCATGCTCATCTTTCAATCCTCTCACACCTAGCCGGGATTCTCAGCGGCGCGCAGTTGATTGCGGATCAGCCCGGCTTCGTTCTTGATCGCAGACAACTTTTGGATAGTCGAGAATGTACCGCGAGGACTCCCAGGAACCTCGAACGTGCAGCTGTTCACCAAAAGCCATGCAGTGAGCGAGGTGGTTGTCAGCGTGCTTCGGTTGGACTACTTCGAGTCGTCGTAGAAGCGATTGGAGAACGTACGAACAGCAGGTTGTGGTTGTTTTGATAAAGCGGACCGGTATATACTCGCTTCGTGTCGAAGTTGATGCGCCATGCATCGACGAGACCCATCTTCGCTAACCACTCGGGACAGCTGGATCGACTTGGGGCATATCGCTAGTCAGGGAACAAGGCGTCGAGCCGAGGGTCGAGAGAAGTGTTGAGGTCACCCTACACGAGGTTCGTCGCTTGATCCTTGAACCATTCGGTCTCAAGATTCTCAAAGAAGTGTTGCTTTTCCTCTCGATCCACAGACTGAAACACGCTGTAGCTGTAGATGAGAGCACTCTCGACCGTCACATTCACGACGAGATAGCAGCCTGTGACCGAAAGCAGTGGGAGTTCAATTGCATCACGAAAAATGAGCTTGTTTAGTAGCTATGCTAAGTACCGAATCCAAGGATATCAGAGCGGAGCATCGCGCACACTTCGCAGCTCTGACCTCGCGTGGGTCAGTCCAGCAGCAAGCTGGGTCTTTACGACGACCGTTTCCTTGGAGCTCGAGACGAGGTGGAACTTGAACCTGAAAAGTGCATGCTGTCTGCAAACTTGGTTTCTTGAACGCATGACACCGGAGAGCTAGCTCGTAATAAATAGCTGACCGTTTTTCTTGATGTCATTAGCGTTCATGGTGAGGACACTAACGTTGCTCCACGCCATGATGAGCAAAACGGCTGGCTTAGCAACGACTTGCCAAGCCGCCAGCGACCGTCATCCACGCTTTGGAGTTGAAGCACCGACCACGGTAGTACCCATCAAGCTTGCGCAGCGCTTCGAGATCGTCGAGCGAGTGACTCAACAACTGCAACTAACTCCATTGCTGCATACTGTGCATACCGAAGTGCGACCGTAGCAGACGAAGGAGCGTGTTGGTGTGCAGCAGTCGCGGGTTATGTGTGGGGATCCACTCGACTGACTGACCCGTATCCAATGAGCATTTCCAAAGATCGTCGATACGATGGCATTTATGCCAGCTAGAACATCCTCAGAGCCTTCTGGTCAGCTCTCGCATCGATTTAGACGAGTTTGATCACTTACTGCACATCTTAAAGATGTCGTGGCGCTTGGACGGAGCCGTTATTTCCGTTGGTTTTTTCACTCGGCGGCGAAAGTGAAGTTCTCACGCGGTTGTGTCGCTGAAAGTAAACGGTTAGTCATCGACGGCGTTGATATAGCGACGCTGTTTGTGGGTCGTGTCTTTTGACAACTAGCACTTTCGGAGGCAATTGTCTCTGATAGAGACCCACGAATTACTGGGAAGTTTTGGTCGGCAATCTTCAGGGTGCTGGGCACCAAGTGGACTATGTCTACAGCGGACCGATGGTTTAACTGAGCGCGTGATTCGCGTCGTTGAATACGTTTTTCGCAGCGTCTACGCTGAGACGCCGAGGCGCTGGAGCGCCATGCTGCCACGTGTAAAATACGCTCTGAAAAATGCATTGCATGCGTCTACCTGCTACACGCCGTTCTACGTGAACAGGCTTTTCAATCTTTGCGTCCCGCTGAGGCCGTCACCCCATGGCTCAGGGCTTGGTGGGGGAGAAATAGCCAAGCGGCTAGCTGTTGTCAGCCCCCTCACTGTCTGTAACGAAGTCAATGACTTTCTGTCTACAAGACTGAGTGTCTTACGACACGTTCGTGATGCGATGGCTGAAAGACAGACATGCAGAAAGAATCTGCAGACGGAAGAAGCAGAAGAAATACTGAAAACTTTGAGGTCGGAGACCTGGTTTTAGTAAATGTTAAAAATCTTCCTACACATGCAGTTTCTGCTTAAGACGAAGCGTTTTCCGCAGTTTATCGGACCTTTTAAGGCCCTGGCCACGTGGGGTCTTGCGTATACGCTAAACCTTTTAAAAAGGATGCGCACCATCCAGTGCTTTATGTGGGCTTGCTTAAGCCGTACCGGGATTCGGCGCAAGTGAGCGCGGAAGCGTTGGCGCCGGGGCGATGCTCACAGGCGCTCGACCATCCAGAAGCTGGACCAGCAACTGGCTTTGAGCACGGAGTGAAACGATTATCATCTTCAATGGCGCCAGACGTTCACCGTCGCACGAAGTGACGCATTTGTCTACTCGACGGCTAGGAGCCGCTCTGACAGAGCGCGATAGTCCTCAACGTGAGGCAGTCGGTATACAAACTGCTCCAAGATCTTGAGGACTTCCGGATAGCGGTATGCGGCCTTGGAATGATGCTCAGCGGAATCCCGATAACGACGGACCATAAAATCAAGAGCTCGAAAGCCATCGCGATCCACCGAACAGCGATCGAACAAGTCGTCATCGCCCGTCGCCGACTCTTCATGACGAGAACGGTGGTGTTCACTGTCACGTGGAACGTTTAGTTAGTCGACGTCGTCGACAGGGCCAAACTTAGTATTTCGTGAAGGGGCGAGGATATCCCGACTCTGAGAAGTAATGGTAGTTTGATGTGCCACTTCGGCAAGACTGCCCAGACGTCGTGGACGCTTATTATTAAAAGGACGCTTCGTGTCGTCGTATGCTCCGCGCTTCTTGGCAATAGCAAGGGAAGCCGAAGGACCATGATCTGAGCTCAAGCTATGACCTGAGCTGTGATCGTAGACTCTCCCGTGAGAGAGACCACAGAGCTCGCGGGAGCGTTATGGATTATTCCGAAAATATGGCGATCCACGCACAGCTGTCCTCACTGTAAGTTAGACAAAAGGAAAGTTTGCAGCCATTGCTCAAAGAGCTCCTCGTCATCTGTAGCGGTTTCAACAGGGGTGAGTACCGCAGGAATCGTCCGCATTGCGGGTACGGGAGCGCCTCTACTTTGAGCCTGACGTCGAGCCAGGTACATCTCCAGCGAGATTGCCTGAGGTATCAATAAGCGAGCTCGCAGAGCTTAACGTTGGTGAAGCTCGGCTTGTGTACTGGCCGGGGGCCCGACTGCGTAGACGCTAATCGATCGAGTGACCGCGTCCTCCGCCGAGTGGAAGCCGTATTTCACACAAGGGTCTTGGACCGGCCATGGATACGCGCGCATAGCCGCCCTGCGGGCAGCCTTTAGCTGCTGCTCTTGTGCCTCGTCGAGGCAACTGGTAATGATGCTACTTCCCCCGGAAGTCGAGAAGTCGGGAAACATACCTGGTCTCTGCAAGGTTCGAGCACGCGCAATGGCGCACCTCGCCCTCATCATCTTCCCATCTTGGGAAAATATTAGACTCGTTGTCGACTCTCCCTGAATTCTCGACGAAGTAACCCGTCACTTGTGGCGGGTGCGTTGCGCGGCGCTCTGTTGCCAAGGGCTTGAAATGTACTTCCCTTGTAACCGTGCTGCCCGAAGTTGAACCGCGTGCAGGAGACGAAGAAGGACTCTCCCCGCGGGGCGCTCTCGGAACCAGCGTGGCTAAGTCATAGAAACAGGGCTCACTGATTGAAGAATGCGTGAAGAAGGTTCGAAGAATGTAGAGAGTTTGAGACACGCGAGCCTCGTACGAGGCGACAGGGAAATGCGAATTGTGAGTTTTCACAATGGAGGAGAGTGTAACGGAGCTTCACGTACCCTGGTATGACGGGGTGGGTCACACAACATGGTGTGACCACGCAACGGTGTGGCTACGCCTTGACAAGAAGCCACTACGTGGCGGTACTGCCAGTAGCTATGCATTTCAATTAGGTTTTACAATTTTCAGACCTGTAGATTTAGATATAAGCGGCTTTGCCGCAAACACATAAATACAGTTTCAATGCTGAATGGAAGAGCTTATCTGCCTTGGGTTAAGGTTGTGGTTACTCTTGGCGTTAGCGAACTGTACTTATTCTGGTTCTTGTGTAGAATGTAAGGTCGATGACCTTAGCTTAGCTTAGCTACCTCTAAGCAAGAGCTACGGCAGCCCACTGCATAGTCTTACTGGCTAGATCGTCGAATTGTTTCCGGATGTGACGGGGTTGCTGCGCACCGCTTACAAAGACCTCAGAGTCCGCGTCAACTAACACACAACGGATGGGACCACCTAATCGCAGAGCGAGGGCCTATCAAAGAAGGGTCTATCAAATATATATTACTTTAAATCAAGACTGACATTCGGAAGCAGTCAAGGTTGAAATGGTGCTTAAAATAAAAGATTTACTTTCTGCAATCCGAAATCTTGACTAGAAGCAATAAGTTCCTAGGTTACTTGTCACTCAAATTTCATACTAAGTTTGTATTCATGGTTTCATGAGCGTTGCTCTAAGTTCGAGGTACAGCAGTATAATGTGTACGTACAATCAAAATACAGTAGATACCCCGTTCGCTACACGATGATCCGTAGAGTCCGCTCACGCAGCCTGCAGTTAAGGCCAGTGTACTGATTACATTAAATTTATTCAAATTAAGAATGTGATATATAGAAATGCAAATTATACCTAATCTTCACGTTTTTACTGTTTTTGATTTCCCAAGTTGTAGAGTACCACACTTAAGTACCGAGTGGTAGTACTTCGTTCTAAGGATTAAGGACAATATTGTAACATGTTAATTTTGTACATCTCGAAGAAATACAGCCATTCCACATCTTGATTAACATAAAAAATAGAACCTGACAATATTTTCTGCCCAATATAACTATTGTATTGTGTACCGTAATTAGAAATATCCCTACGACTTTAGAAGGGCATTAATGGTGGCGATGACTTTGCTGCGTCGAGACGGCCGCGCCGAAAACGAGCTGAGGCCGTTTGCTTCTGAACAGGGTGCGCTTTTTCGAGCTGACGGTTCTGCGCGCATGTCACATGGAGGTAGTACCGTGGTGGCGGCAGTGTACGGTCCTGGTCAGGCTCGCAATTGGCGTGCCGAGAAGGCTGATATGGCAACGCTGGACGTGTGTTTCAAGCTTGAGAAAGGCATTTCAAGTGCGTACAACTGAAACGCAAACTTTCTTGTAAGATCCGAAGAGTAATATGGAGAACGATTGTAGCATCGAAGGAGAAGGAGTATGAGCAGATCATCCGCGAAACCTTCGCGCCCATTGTACTGACTGACATGTTTCCGCGCGCTATCATCAGCATTGTTGTACAAGTGCTTGAAGACGATGGATCAATATCTTTACGACTCGATATATTTTGCTTGTTTTTTTAACGATGTATTTGGAAGTTCTGCTTCAGGCCGAAAGTTGTCCTTAACGGTGGAATGGTCATTTTTTCTTTTTGTATCTGTACCTTCTTGCAGTAGCAATCAACGCGGTGAGTTTGGCGCTCATGGACGCTGGTGTTCCCATGGCGTCGGTAGTAACGGCGACCTCATGCAGCATTGCTATGGACGGCAACTTATATTTGGACCCAACATCTGCTGAAGAAGAGGTATTGCAGTATGTGAATAGTGCGACAAGCTTTATGATTCATTCTGTTTGTTCATCTTGCAGAAAGCTGTATCATGGGTTATTTCTGCGCGATCCTGCTCAAATGACGGAGTGTTGACTTGTATCACAAATGGTTGCTAGAATCACATAGTGAGCATACAACAAATAACTCAAAAGGTGTTTTGTATATACGCAGGTTTGCTGTCAGAGGAGCAGTATTTTGCGTGTTCCGAGGCGTGTCAAAGGTATCAAAATAGCATACACGTTATAATTGTACAGAGTGGAGTCATCTGACATAATATGGTTGATGGTTTAGAGCATCGGAGAGTGTTGCGGTATTCTTTCGAATCGTTCATCAGAAAAAGTATCCTGTCGAGCCAACCGACCACTGATCAAAGATTGAAGTAAATCGTCCGGTCAAAAAATATCCGCAATCACGATGCTTGTCGTTCATGCAGTTCCTTCGCATACATCATTCTATTTTTGTTCAGACCATCCTAATTTAGACTCGTTGTGTCGACTTAGTTCTTGCACAATTTGCGAATTGGCTCGCGATCGGCAATCGCAGAAATTTCCGCTAGCCGTAGCACGCGCAAATCCAGCAAATAAAATTGGACTAACGCATACAGCAGCAACTTCGTTATCGACCTTACCGATCGATTCGCTCGCTGTTACCAATGCGATAGATTATTGCGAGACATTGCCTAATGGAGAAAGCAGGCTTTGTGCTTTCTGTATATATTTGATGTTTACACTTTGAGAGCGGATACCAGCGGAGCACTTTGTTGTCAACGACAAGCTCTCATCCATTATCATTGCAGTAGCTAAAGTCAGAACGATCTATTTAAATGTTGGAGTATGCGGAGAAAGTGCGAGTGAATGAGCGCAAATTAATGCAATCAACGCGACAGATTTTTAGGATTTAATTTTAGTTGATATCTTTTTTAAACAGACTGGAATATACTATCTAGTGGTGTGTTTCAACACAAAGTCGCAGAACGCGACGATTTGAACACCAACTTCAATGCTAGATGTGTGCTGACAATTGTAGAAGGTACACCGGAACAGGAATTTTATGTACATCTATGACGACTTTAGTCATATATAAATGGACGGTTATGATAAAAAGATATTTTTGAAATGTACAACTGTGGAATCTTAGACCATATCAAACAGCTTTGCGAATCAAAAGGTGAATGTTGCAACTCTGACGATTGCCGTTTGAATTATCATAGTTCAAAATTTGCCGCCACCTTTCGACCAGAAACTATAAGCTTCAATTTATATTGGCAAAATGATGTACAATGTATAGATATTCTTCTTAGGAAATTCCGTCATTTCTAAATGTTCAAATACAGAAATAGTGTACATGTTGCGTTGCAAATAAAGCAAGGGTCTGTGTTCCTGCAAAGTCTGTCTCCTGACTTTAAAATATGCTTTTGCTGCCACGCACTTTGGGTGGTACCGAAGCGGTTCACTTTATTTCAGGCCACAAAGACACAGATCTAACGCTGAAAATGATATGATTTGCGTAAAAGTGACTCAAAGGTAGAAATCATGCCATTCAACGAATTCCTCGATAAAGTGACACATGCACATTTCTCAAAATGAATTGCGAGACGAAAAGCACAATCAAGTCCAAAGCTGCCGAAGCAAAAGCAGTCATCTTCATCTCTGACGGTACGTTTCCATACCTTTTCGCTCTGAGTATGTTTGGTAGACTTTTTTGATACCATAATGTTTCACCGTTCGACAAACCTTTTAATTGATCCATCTGTATCGAACGACTCTCAGACGAACATGATAAATCTAAGCCTTGCACTTCGGCTCGCCCCATCGTCTCCTTTGGACCCAGCAGCACCATCATTAATAGTGGGAGCGATAGTGACGTCGAGCCTTGTTTTGAGAGGTCTCTCAAGTCTACGGCTAAGTCGTCACCTCGCCCTTCATGTACCACCAATTCGAACAAGCGTTCTTTTACTTATCAATATACCTCAGAGAAAGTGCCGGAGCAAAAATCTAAGCGACACGCATCATCTAAAATTCCGGAGGCTAATCACTCGCCGCCGATTTACCAAACCGGTGGTCTGAAACCTATAACACCCTCATCGGCCATCAAATCGTCTATGAATGCGTCCTTGGTATTTGACATGGTAACTTCACTAAGTACGAATGATCCGGGGGCAGCTATCGCGACATTGAGAAGCGTTGTGGTACTCGGTAGAGAGTATCCGTCGGATCTACTTTATGCTGAACTCATTGACCGTATTCAAAGTCATGAAGCTATTGCGTATAATGACGCTGTGGCAATTTACGGGGCGCTTGTGTTTGTGTTTGACAAGGCGGTATCTTGCAGCTGTGCTCCAACATTTCCAAACCAGTGGGAGCCATTGGCAACAGCATTACAGGAAGTGAGTGGCAATGGACGAGTAGGGATCGACGGGAAACCTCAAAAAGACGAGCACTGGCGGCGCAACTTGCTTGTTGTTCAGTTTCTTATCTATTGTTTTCAGCAAGATATGTTTGCGTGTCGTTTGCGATACGAGCGTCTGGAAGGTAAAGCGTGGCTTTTTCACACTCGACTATTTGCGTTGTTGCAGAGTGATCTTACCACTTTGGGATCGGCGAAAGCAAGATCAAAATCACGAATCAAGTCCACCAAAATGCGCAATAACAATCTTATATTTTGCGCGATCGGTTGGGGACTACAGCTATGGAAACGCGTGTACGATGATGAGGATCATGAGAAGAAAAAGAAGGTCAAAAATAGCGAGAAAGATAACAAATCGAGCTTGTTTCTTCGGCAGGAAGGCGAACAGGCTTGTTTGTCAGTCATTCGTCTTATTGAAATGCTCTACATGTGCACAGACCAACATATGAATGCGTTACAGCGTGTCCAAGTAGGTTTGGGGGAACTAAAACGGCCCACCCGCATCAAATTTGCACAGAGTCTTCAACTCCCTGCTCTGCGGACGCAACTATCATCTACCATGATCGGGCTATCAAATAAATCTAGAAATACCGAAACGGAATGGTATGAGTGTAATGCCCTTGGACGTGTCGAATTGGCGATGAGTTCAAGTACGTAATGGCCATTTTATATCATTGCCTTGGTACAAAGTTTCTGACACGTACTGCATCAGATTATAACAGTGATCTCACACACACTGATGGCTACTCCTGGTCTCACTTTGACAGTTTTCTTGGTCTGGAGCCGCAAAATAATTTGACTGATCTACTCCAAGAAATCTCACGCATGCAGCACCAATAGATGTCAACGATCCAGATAGATAGACCTTCAGTCTTTGCTGAGAAGGCATAAGCAATGCTATGCTGCAACACTGGCGTTAAAATTGCTGTTGTCCAAATTTGGTAATGTTCCTGTACACTGCAAAATGAATGATAATGTCGTGGACTACGAGTCAGCAAATATTATGACTAATCCGACTGCAGCGATCTAACTCCTCGTTTATAGATAAATTCGAGCTAGTTTTACTCGATCACAAGGAATTTTTCTGTTATGTTCATTCAATGTCCAGCAATTATAAGCAAAACTTTTTTATGGCTCGTCCCATCCTTGAAGGCACATGCAAAAATTTGATGGTAATCCGGCTTTGTTGTTTGGAGGAACTACAAGCATTTCCTAGTGCTCTATCAATAATATTCGAGCATTTTGAAGGCCTAACAAATTTTGAAAGAGGTCCAATTCTTTCGGCGAACTCGTTTAAAAAGGATAAGCAGAAAATACTATTGAGCAAAAAAAAATGAATCGAGCTAAAAGGGCAATGCGTCCGATGTCAATAATCTCCATAAATGTAGTATACCATGTTTGAGTATTCAGAGGACGCTCCTCACCACATCTCGGAGATTGAAATTTCGATATTTTGGTACATTAGAACCCAAATAACCAACGATTTGTCACAGAACCGCTAATTAGCGGCCCAAAGTTCTTGCCATTTACGTGGCAATCACCAATTGTTTTTTAGAAGTTATATATGAGTTCAAATATCTACCCCAGTCTACATTTTGCGTACATCCCACCTCAATTTGACGACAATTCCAATTTTTACTATTTTAAGCGACGACACGGCAAACATAATTTCAACAGGTGACAAGAGAAAAATACGGTTCCATCAATTTGTGCGATAGAGACAATACGACTAGGCATTTGTCCAGTTTTTTGATAAATTAAATTGTCCGCAGTTGCCAAGTACTTTGCCGTTTTTTCTGGAGTGGTTGCATGGCACCAGGCAAGCTCAGAAAGCAAAGTCGACATTGTAAAGTTTCGTGTCTCGGCTATATCATGCTGATGCAAAGCCATTTCCCCCCGGCATTTCTTTACAACAGAGCAGCATAGCACACGTTTTCGTACAGATTTATTTTGTGTGGAATGTAATATTTACGCAAGGCATCTCCCTGACACAAGAATCTATATTAATCAGCACGGCAGCTCCACACTTTGATTGGATTTTCAGCTGAAATGGAATGTAAGAAACGCCAAGAGAATGTTTGATGTACGTAAAAATTGTGTTTTTGCAATTTAATCAAAAATATTTAGTACTAAAAAATACAATCACAAGTCTTCTCCGATAAAATGCACCAAAAACAAGTCTTTTGAGACGTAAATTTGCAATTGTATAAATTTAGTCCAATTTGTGACTTGAATTATCGGGTTTATCACAATACGAGCATCCGATGGAGCCACGTCCTTACTAGCCATCTGAATGTTGTGACCACATACTTTTATGCGTACTTAGCATTAACTATGTATCCTGCATAATTGATATCCCTCATTTTGTTGGAGGCCAACAGGCCACAAAAATGTCTACTTCATCTTCTCCTCCTCGTTCGCGAAAATCAACGGCTCGCTGGAAGTGAACAATGCACGGTAAAGCGTCTTATTTGATTTAAGTCTTCCTCGATACACGGACGGGCACGTTCCTGATGCACTTGGTAGCACTAGTGATCATTCCAGCGCTAACTTCTCCAATGATTTCATCTTTGATAACGTGGACAATAGAGGCAGTGGTCGTCCTCGGATCAACAGGAATGAATATTTGTATATAACACACTCGCAATGGGAGAGCGTTGCGAAGCTGCGACCTTCAATTGGAGATCACGTGGTCTTCGACATGGTCCGATTGGATCAAGAAGCGATAACTCAACGCTTAGTAAATTTTGCTGCGCATTAGCAAGGATTATTAAGAATTATATTACAGAACATACTGACGCCAGCTCTGCCACCTGTACCATAAGTGGTGATACCACCGCCGGTACACACGGAACGTTCCGTGGAATTCAAGGTGAAAAGCATTCACCAGAAAGAAATTGAAAATCTTGTGTTTTGGCAGCTAAAATGGACATCGCTATCGCGATGACTTAAATTCGTTTTGAATGCAGTCAAATTGCCTTCGCCATGTCGCATTTGGATGGCCGAGCGAGCGATTGGGCGATGTCATGGGAAGTCAATTGCCCCGGCTACTTTGCCACATGGCAAGAGTTGATGAGGGTCATGACATCGATATTTACTGCTGCCGAATGTGATATCTCGACAACGGTCAAAATTTTGTATTACCACAAGACAACCGCACATTGTACAAATATGCACAGAAGCCCCGTGAGCTTCGTGCCAGTACGGCAAGCGAGCTTCTGCCAGAGATTGTGATGGTCAAGACTGAAGCCTTCGACGACTCTATAAGACGCAATTATCGTTGCATTGGGTGAGGACTACTGTCAAAGTCAAGCACGTGGTCAATAGGTCAATCCGATGGAAGCAGTGACTGCCGTTACTGAAAATATATAATCTTTGGATCTTAGTGCGGGGACCGTCCGTAGGCAGCAAATTCGCTGTTATGGATGTCGAAAATTTGGTCACATCCGTTGTGAATTCCACGTGAGAGACGAGCCTCTCAATACGGTTCTCGTCGTAATGGTTCCGAGTCCTGTGGTACCGATGCTACAAGGCCTTCGGGAATTGCCGGAACCCTGTTTTTACGGCGCATTCTACTGGGCAGTTATAAGTTTTTGCGAGTGTGGTGGTAGAATCACTAGCAAGCATTTAGTCGCTGACGAGTTGTAGTCCTTCGTTAACGACACGAGTCGAAGTAGTCTCCTCGTGATAGTGTAAAGTGCTACGGTCATCCGTTTCAAGTCTTGATCGACTCTTGCACGTCGCGTAACTACGCGCGGGAGCAAAGTGTTGCTGAAAATGATTCAGTGCTTTCAGATGCATCAGATCGAGCAAATGGCTTTATCTCAATGAAGCTGGCCATTGGTGCGGTGGCCACTGCGAAGAAAATTAAAGTTGATCTTCAGCTTAATTTAGAAGACGTCAGCTCGTAGGAAGTATTCACAGCCCTCGAGACAGACAAACGGTACGGCCAGATTATAGGCTTATCGTGGCTTGAGAAGCATGATTTATGGGTTGATTGGCGATCGAAAACGATTGGGAGTAGCTCTTTTGGAGTGGGGAAACTCCCAAGGGTTTCCCCACTCTAAAATTTAATGAAAAATCTGATTAAAACAAAGTAATGAGCCTACGTTTACTACAAACCGTAAGAAGTGTTTTAGCGCTCGGCAGTCTGATGCTGCTGGTAATAAATCACACTTCATTGGTTTATGTCATGCAAGTGACATTCCCCAGGTTAGAGAATATATGAAGTCGTATGGATTGATCACTGGGTGGTTATCCATGAAAGGTGTCGATGGATCAAGTGATGCTTGGAACTAGACACATAAATTGACGGTGGGCATGGCAATCTGCCAAACGGAAAGAACTTACGAGAGAGAAATTCCGGTTGTTGCCCCCTCAAGATAAAAGAATGTTGTCGATATGTGTGCAATGGAAAGTCGAAGCGATTGACTCCCACTAGTACAGTGGTTAGTCGGATTGTGTGTCAGCTGGTAGCTCAACCACACAACGGGTGGTTGAGCACACACATGCTATGAAATCAACTGAATTTGTTAATCGCGGTACTGATACCCCTGTTCTGGATGCAGTCCGTGGGTTAGTTAGTCCAGCGTACTTCTCCCCATGATGTAACTGTAGCGTGCAAATATGCCGGTCAAAATATTGTGGATGCAACGACTGGTTGTGTAGTTGCCAGAACAGGTGTACTTTTGGCACCATTACCGGCGATGGAAGAGCTGGTGCAGCTGGGGGAAGTCACTAACGATGGTTTCCTACACGACCTAAAATGTGACGTTATTGCGAAAGTCTAGGTGCCACAGTCAAACGTCGATTCGGCGAAACTACGCTCATCATCCGTTACGGAATATTCGGTTCACGAAGAATTTTGACAGCGTGTGGAATCACGAAAAAAAACTAGCTATTTTAAAGGATCCAACTGTGACTCACTTGTTGTGAAATACAAGGTTGATGCCCTTAGTGCGAAACCGCCTTCCGGTCTTCCACCCGAACGTGGACACCGATACAAAATTGATCGTGAAACTGGTTCGATGCATGCAGTGCATCGTCAGTGGGCACTGTCGCGTGATCAAGTGAGTAAATAGATGAGTACCTTGCTCAAAAGCAAGGTGCTGGTTTGGTTAGGGAGATCAAGTCCTTTCACAGCGAGCCGACCTTTTTTTGTGTGCGCAAACCAAATGTACATGACATATCGCTCAAGCCTATAATAAGTTGTATGCGCAGACGATTTCCGTCCAAACGCCAATTTCGCGACAGGATACATCATCCACCGTAAGTCTGGTTGAACACATTTATGTGTTTGATAGATACTGCCAAATTTTGGTAACGGAGGAGGACGTCCGGTTGTCTGCTTTTAGTATACCGTCTGGCATGTTATGGGAGTGGCTTGTGATGTCACAAGGACTATCCAATGCCACTAGCAATGCTTTGTCGATTGGTCTCAGATCTCTTCGAACCACGCGAAGCTTCGCACAAACACAGTTTGACGATATTTTTGCTCTTTCGATGGACGAAGATGGCAGATATGCCGAAAAATTACAATTGGAGTATTTCCGTGTGGTGCTAGAATATATGCGTGAACAATTATTACATGCGAATCTTGCAAAAAAAATCTCGGTGCTAACGAGGTACCAGTCCTCGGTTGACATGTTGGTGAACACGGTGTCCGTGCTAAGCGTGAGACGGTCAAAGCAATCCTGGTGTGGTCAACGCATCGAAGTCAAAAGGAGTCGTTGAAATTTGATTGGTTTGTTCTATTACCTGCATCGCTTCTCGTGTAACTATGCGGAAATGATACGTACGCAATTAAACTTGCTGAAATAGGACGTATAATGGAAGTGGTC